CCCAAACTGGGACACTGGGACACAGTTGATCGATGGGGTAAAGGGAATGCTCTAAATTAATCATTTAATATTAGGTGAGAGCTGAAAAACACCCAGGAGTGCGGGGGTTGGACCCCAGTGGGCAACCGGGACCTCAAAACCGGTCACCAACCCCCCCACCTCGTTGGGATGGGGAGAAAAATTAAAAAATTAACTCGTGGGTTGAGATAAAGATGGTTTAGAGGAACAGGAATGGAAGGGAAAATAAAATTAATGAGAAAAATTGGAATATAATAAACAAAAATGAAAAAAGTCCTTGGCTTAATATAAACATCGCTCAGCAACAACTACAACACCAAGGGGTCTCACACCCTCCAGGGGCAGAAGATGCTCCCAGCCCATCCAAAATTGGGGACTTTTTGATAGTTTTCCCCTCCAAAAAAGGCTCTTCCACCCACATGAGCCCTTGCTTTGACCCCACCACAGAGATACTCGCACGAGGCCAACACACAAACGCTTTTATTTTGGCCCTAATTTACTTTCAATCCAGCCCCATCCATTAATACGACCCAAAATAGGTTGAAAACATCGAGAAAATGAACTGAGACATCAAGAAAGACCCTGTTTGGCTGTGATTTCTTTTCTCTCGGGTGAAGCTCATGGGTCTCCCTTCCCTCCCTTCCCCCCATCTTGAATCTAAGGCAAAAAAAAACAGAGGATGGGGGTGGCTTTTTATAAAATCAACCTCACAAAGCCGTTTTCCATATAAAAATATACAGTCAAAAGGAAATAAACCGGTGGGATGTATGTGGGTGGGTTGGTTACCTCTGGGTGCCACCACCAGGGACCCCCAAGATGTGTCTGAGATGCCACCAGGATGGGGCTGGCCCCCAGTGGGGTTGTCCCCATCTTCAGTTGGTGGCTTTTATGATGGGAGACGAGATGAAGTGGAGCCAAAAGCTCTTCCCACAACCCTGAGGCTTCTTCTTGTTGTGGATCCTCCGATGGTGGATGAGTTTGGGGCTGGAGGTGAAGTTTTTGAGGCAAATCAGGCAAATGTCGGGTTTCTGCTCCAGCTGGGACCACCGGTGAGCGATGGCTGAAGCCTCTCCTGTGGTGGGGGCAGTATCTTTCCCCCCGCTGTGTGCCCAGAAGATCTTGGAGAACCCAAGAGGGTTGGAAAAGCTCTTCCCAAAGGTTGAGGAAGGGATGATTGTCCTACACGATGTGTCTCTGCTGATGCCGGACCAGCGTGGAGTTGTTGCGGAAGCACCGGCCGCACTGGGAGCAGTCGTAGGGCTTCTCCCCCGTGTGGGTCCGCCAGTGCTGGACCAGTCCTGAGCTGTAGGTGAAGCTCTTGGAACACTGGGAACACTGGTAGGGCTTCTCCCCGCTGTGGCTCTGGAGATGTTGCTTCAGCTCCGGGCGGCTCTTGAAGCTCTTGGGGCACTGGGAACACTGGTAGGGCTTCTCCCCGGAGTGGAGGCGGTGGTGGATGGTCAAGGTGGATCTCTGCCTGAAGCCCTTCCCACATTCCTCACACCGGTACGGCCGCTCGTCCGTGTGGGCTTTGCGGTGCTGCCGGAGGGCAGAGCCCTCGTGGAAGCTCTTCCCACAATCGGGGCACTCGTAGGGCTTCTCCCCGCTGTGGGTCCGGCGGTGGGTGGCCAGGAGAGAGGGACGGTTGAAGCGGCGCCCACAGTCCTGGCAGCTGAAGCGTCGCTCTCCCGTGTGGATCCGATGGTGGTTGACCAAGGCCGAGCGGCAACTGAAGCTCTTCCCACATTCCTGGCATTTGTTGGGTGCCTCATCCTTCCCGTTGTCCCCTGAGAGCGGGGATCCCCCCGGATGGGAGCCTGGAGACAGCTGCTGGCTGGAGGTTGGGGGTTCCACAGGTTCATCCTCTTGCTGAGGAGCATCCTCCTGGTGTTTCTCCTCCTCCTTGATCGACCCCAAATCTGTTGGGGAGAGGGAACATCTCCAGGAGCCGTCTCAGGCTGGGAGAGGGTTCACGTGGAGCGGGGACAGGGAAAGGGTCAACCAAGAAGGTCCCAGAAGAAGATCAAGGTTCGAAGGCAGAAGGGACCTTGGGAAGGGTTGGGGACATGGTGGAACAAGGGATGGGGATGTGGTGGGAGAAGAGATGGGAACGTGGTGAGAGAAGGGATGGGGACACTGTGGGAGAAGGGGTGGGATGTGGTGGGAGAAGAGCTGGGGCCATGGGGCGAGAAGGGATGGGGGTCATGGTGGGAGAAGGATTGGGGACACAGTGGGAGAAGGTGGCAAAATGGATGGGGACATGGTGGGAGAAAGGGACAGGGACACCGTGGTGGGAGAAGGGACTGGGACGTGGTGGTAGAAGGTTTGGGGTCACCCTGGGAGAAGGTCTGGGGACCAGACACAGCACAAGGACCCTCCTTAGGGCCAAAGCACCCCCAACCCCACGTTCCCCCAGCCCCTTGTCCCCACCAAAGCCACCCCTCAGCCACCGTCCCACCCCCCCAGGGCCTCTCACCCGCTGGGACCACGCTGTCCCCGTTCCTCTTCCCAGTGTCCCCAGCGCAGGCCGTGGGGAGCGGGACGAGAGGTGCAGCAGCGTCCTCCATGGCCGTCACCTCCGTGGGGACAACCCTATGGGGGGGACAACCCCAAATGCTGTCACCCCACTGGCCCCCAGGGTGGGGGGTTCAGGATTTCCCCTAA